GCACTTCTGTTGAAGATGATCGTTAGTTTTCGCTGTCCAGATTGGTATTCGTATTCCGGGGGAGGGGGGGGGGACTGCATGACACTTGCGGTCGTTCACAGGTCCAGATCTTTGTACACATCCGCAACCATTAATGAGGTACCGTTAATAGAAAATCGGTGTTTTAGGGATTTTTTAGCCTGATTTCAACTGTAGGATTATGTATTTCAGCGCGTCGAACTTTAAAAACCATCTGTATGATCAAGTGAGCAGCCTGTCGATGTTCAGTTGCAGCTTTTTGCGTTATCGGTTGAATTAACTTAATTTCATATTTCAATATCATCGACGTACATGATGGTCTCGAATTACAGGGGGTCTGAAGCAGAACCCGCGAGATACTGCTTTCGAACTTTGACGTTCTGGGGTGGCAATTTCAGCCTCAGCTACCTGTTCACTGAGGGACACAAAATTATTCGTCCATCAGCTTCGAAAACCCTATTTCTGAAATATCCTTTAAGAGAAGTCTGTGAGGCACTGGGTTGCAGGATACCGTACTAACAGCACAGATACTGGCTAAAAGCCCAGACGCGTGTTTCGTCGATATTCCGTCGCTGCATGGTGCAGCTCCAGGAGTTTGGCTCATCGGTGAGTACCCCGGCAGTCCCCATGTACTTCCTGGCAGGTACTCCAGTTTAGAAATTGTTGCCTTTTACTTTCCTCAGAAAGTAACTGCCACCTTGGAGTAGATCAGTTTGGACTATGGTCTATAGGCGTAGACTGAAATTTGATGTATGAATACCTGGCCCGATATCCATCCCCCAGAGCAGGATAACCGCCCAAGTATTCATAATCTAGATTTCGGTCTACGCCTACAGACCCTAGTTCAAACTGATCTACTCCAAGTTAGCAGTTAATTTCTGAGGAAATTAAAAAACAACAATCTGTGGGGTGACCCGTCAAGTGCCTTCCTGGAGTCTAAAAATAGAGCGTTCGCTGAATGGTTGTTGTCTACAGAATTTCCCCTTTTCCCATGGGAGTTGAGAATGAACTTAAAACAAGTGGACCTCTAGATGAATGACATTACACAGGGCACGTTATGTTGCCTTCGCACGGACCCTCAACTTCCATGTTTTCTTATAAAACACTCCACTATTTTACACGATATGAAACCTAGATTGGGTGACACCCCGAGCATTCCAGTGTCGATTCTACGTTATAGACCAGAGCGATAAAGGTTTTCATTCACTCTGTTGAGTCTAAGCGGCTAGAGTAAGTACTCTGTGTCCTTGTCTGTGCGCTACCATACTCCGGTCAGATACCAAGTTGAGGAGAGAAGACGGAAGAAACCAGAATGAGGCGTTTATTGTGCACAGAACCCGGAGTTGTCCTCTCAGGCGACAGTGGCCGCTGGCGAAGCCAGGGCTGATGTTGACTGCGTCCAGTCAGGCCTGAGAGTCCTTGAGATAGTGGTGGCAGCCGCTTTTGTAGCCTCGTGGGCCAAGCTCAAGTGGTGTCCAGTCAGCGTGTGTTGCATTTGCTGAGGGGGTGGCTTGTTTTGCTGGTTGCAGGGGGTGGCGCGTTCAAGTGGCCGCATGGGCAGTTGTGACTGCGCGGACGCAGGTATGCCCGAGCTGTCGGTTATGTGACTTCAGGTCACCACGTCTGGGACGGCTCGCTGCAAGGGATGAATGACCTTGAGGCAGCGAGGTCTGGAACAATGACGCCAGACCGGTCATGATGTCTGGCTGTTACAGCTCCCCGCCAGACACTGAACGAAGTGATTGTGTCGATCGTGAGGCAGACGATGATGTGTGTGAAATAAGCCAGTGCACATGCGGGTTTGAGAGCGTGTGTCAATGATAGGAGTAGCTAGGACCGCGTGTCAAAGGGGATGCTGCGACCTGTAGAGAGGTGCAGTTGGGGCATCAACCCTGGGTGTGCTGGCGTGGTCTCGTCAACGTGTGCCGGTGAGTTGGCCCGTTGGTACGAGACAGAAGAACGTTTCGAACACTAGGAGTCCCAGTGAGTGCTGAGTCGGACGAATGCGTCAGTCAAATAGGTTCACTGTCATCCAGACACAAAATTGGGAGAGAATACAGTGTCGAAAGTGTGCAAGTTCATCGCTGTATATACGGTAGCATAATGAGTGTATGCAAGGGACTCACGAATGACGATTTTGTCGGTAATGGGCGGAAGAATGTCTCGAACAAAAGAGAGGCGTTTAGATAGCAACACATTTGGAGGACTGCTCTTCACTGTTTGATTGAGGTTTGACCTGGGCTTGTATGGCTGAGTATTGTTGATAGCATCCATCTCGAATCGCGACAGGTTGTCGGCAACAGCTTTTTCCTGTTCGTGGACATGATGAGTGACACCGGAAAAACAGCAGGGCGAAGTCGAGTGGGAATTCTGTGGCGGTTGATTTCAGCCACGTCTGGAGATTGCGCGTCGATCACGTCGGGGTCACCAGTTGTAGCGGCACAGCAGAGAGGATATGTGCTCTGTGCGCTACAATTATCAAGTCAAACCCCAGATTGTAAGGAGAAGACAGAAGGAACCACTATGAGGGATTTATTGTGCACAGAACCCGGAGTTGTCCTCTCAGGCGACAGTGGCCACTGACGAAGCCAGGGCTGTTGTTGACTGCGTCCAGTCAGGCCTGAGAGTCCCTGAGACAGTGGTGGCAGCCGCTTATTCGCTACAACTCTTTCAGAATTACTTTTGCATTTAGTAGATATTCGTTCTTACGGCCTATTGACGAATTTTCGATGTGCGTGCTCAAGCATTGGATACGAACCATGCGACTTGGTGAGTTTATTTCGGAGTAGATCTATCTTCAACATTGCGGATGAAAGATGCAGTTTCCCCGTGAAAAAAGCATGGCGGAGTTTGTTCAATACGCATGTGGATTAGAGTAGGACACTCTACTGTGGACTAACCGAAAACAAGTAAAGGTATGCTTAGGCTTGGTTTTCGCACTTCATTGTTTTAGAAATTCCATTCCGGTATCGGTTTGCTTACGCGGACACTTCAGCGAGTTTTTTGATATGCTCATTTCAAGATTGCTTCGAAGTCTATTAACTTTGTTTTGACGAATGTTTTGTTGATGCTTATAAATCTACAAGTTATCCTCACTTCCAATTTGTTAAAGCGCTTTTAAAAGCAAATCTTAATATAGACACCCATTTCGAACTTGTCCTTTTCAGAAGGTTATTTCCTCTCTTTCTGAGGAGACAGTTGGGCGGACAATCATCTTCAGTAAAGCCTCCTAACCCCCCAACAGTCAGTTATTTCACAATGCAACGTGGCCGCGCAAAATGGGACTTAGGCTTCTCTTAGTTGGTAATCTGCTTTCTAAACATCCAATTCTCACTCATCACGCAAATGGTGTTTTGAGGTAACCGACTAAACTGCGTATAGAACGATGGGGTAGATAGATCGTATTGGTAGTCAATCTTGAAAGCCAAACTCACTCGTCTCCCCTCTGGTTTTATTGGGTCAAGACATGGTGAATGTGCATCTACCGATCATGATATTGGGCATACTTTTCTTCTCATGCCTTGGGGCACAGCATAGAGTCCTCGAATTCAGTCACGCAAAGACCAGAAATGATGCTGGAAGGGACTTAAGGACACTTAATGAACAAAGTAATCCAAAACCGGAATAGGGTATGGCTGGCTGACGACGGCCAGTGGGAGAAAAATGGCCATTATGGATTTTTCTGTTTTTGCTGGCATTCGCCTCTAAGGCCGGGGTTTCAAACTTCAAAAACAGCAGAGAACGGAAGAACAGATTTAAACGTAAGTCAAACTAGATAACCTCAACCGAAGACGAATATGTACGCGACGCAACCAAGTTTAGCCGAGAGCTCAGG